GTCAGAGCCGGATCCTGCGCGAATGCAATTTTCGGCGTGCCTCCGACTATACACAGACTGGCGCGCGAGACACGGACCCCTCACGCCGGTGTCTATCCTCGCGCCATCCAACGAATCACCAAGGAGGCAGAGAGAGCGTTCGGTGGCCGCCAGGGATTACTGCCATTAGAACACACTTGGGATTCCGTCCCGAGCGGGACGGTCGCGGCAGGCAGCGTCCTTGTGACAACTTTCACCCCTGTGTACACAATACATTGTTCCTAGCACACTGGCCTTCCCACCGTCTTCTCTCCTAACGTAAAGGAGCCATGGGCCTGAAAGATCGCAGCCGTTAGTGATAAACCTGTTAGCCTTAACACACCGCGATAAGTTTGCTGTTATAATTTTGCAGTTGATGAATGCAAAGATACAGCTGAGAAGATGCAGACGTCGTAGCTGGATCAAGAGCGCTTTCAGTGGCACAGAGTTTAGAATCTAACAACCGAGGCAGAAGCAAACTAAGGTAATGCTTGTGCATATATTGCAGTAGTCATATGTACCTCACTGTAAAGCTAGTGATAGCAACGGCTCACGCATTTAGTGCCGGGTGGTTGTGCTGTATACAACACCTGCTTGGGTATTCACCGCTACATTGTTCGCTTATAGATGTCAATGTCGCTGTTTCTGCTGGTGATGATGATTTTGGTGGCGGTAATGGTGGATTCGAGTGTGAATTCGATTTCAGACTTACTTCTAAAACGCCTCCTGTTCCAGCGATAGCTTGTTTGTCTTTCAGTCGCTCACCGGTAGCCTATACAAGCAAATATACGAGTCCCAGGAACAAATTGAGAATCAGATTCGGTCGTCGTAACAACATTTTTTCCCCCAGAAGTTTCGGTATCCGTCATGGCTTCTTCATCACAGACCTGAGCAGAAAGCAGTCGATATTGCACACTTATGATAAATAACGAAAATTGACGGTGATTGCCTTTTTTGTGTCGATTGCTTGAGTTACCGGGCGTGCGGGCGCAGACGTGTAGAAATTTCATCACGTGTGGTGGAATTGGACATGATTATTGCTCTGTCGTGTAGTTCTCCGATGTTGGCGTAAGATAATGCTGTGGCCTTTGCGTTCCCAAGTGGCGACTTGCTCTGGCCAACTTCAGCTTCAGCACCGAATATGGATTGGAAAAGTCATTGCACTTGTTTATGAACTGAAGGCAGCGAACCATGACTCAAGTCATTTTTGGCTCACACGATTGTCACCTATTGATAGCATTCTGGCCTCATTAAACTCGAATGTGTGGCCGGGTCCCGTCGAATGGACCACAACTTGAGAATTGGCATCATTTCGTCACACTGCTGCCACGTGTTCGGCAATTCGCGTCTTAAGAATTGCGCCAGTTTTTCTGACGCAGTTGCTATGTCCGCAACTGCACCATATTCTATAGTCCGTTTCTGTTACTGCTGTCTGCTCCTGTCTCTGATGAAGAATCCGCAACGGATGTCGAAACGGCTGGTGAATAAAATTGTTGTCCCAGCGATCGAATCTTCTTGCTAGTTGCCTCATTATCCACCACCAGGTACTTAGTTCATAGGTGCTGTTGCCAAGGATGATGATGCTGATGATTTTGGTGGATTCGAATGTGAGATCGAATTCGCACTCATTCCCAAATTGCCTCATGTTCCAGCGATCGTTTTTTCGCCTTCCCCGCGTTCACCGGTAGTACCGAGTGGGTAAATATCCACGAGTTTCCTGATTACCGTCACATTCACCTTCAGCTTCAGCGCTCCTAGGGCATACGACGTAGTTCGCGGTGATTCAGCTACACTTGATTTGTCTACGTTTGACATTTGCGCACAGTCGCCCAGGGTGGGAACACGTGATGCGTTGGAGACTGCAGCCAACGCGCATGTGGGTCGGTCCACTCGCCATTTTGTGAGTCTTATATTTATATGTCAACTCTATAGTTTGGACTTCCAGCACCTACTAAACGTACGTTTACGAAGCGCTATTATGCTTCAAAGTCAACACTTGGGCAAGCATGATTGAGGTCAAGTCACACTGCTCTCTTCGGGACGGCCAATAGGTCGCAAGTCTACTAGTCTATTTGTGAAAATTCATCGTAGCTATGTGGCGATCTAAATTATCCAAGTAAATTTAACGTCTTGTAAGAAGAAAGAAGCGTCGATATCGGCTCCCAAGCCAAACACGGTAATAGGAACGTTCTGCCCACGTGGCGTGCGCTAGACTCCAGGAGAGGCAACCGCTAGTGTGCTTGTCTCTAAAATAACCCCAACTCAAGACTCATCTTAGCCTTGACCCATACCGTAAAATTTACTCATTTACTCTAACACTCACGGTTTTGAAGTTTTTCTCAAAGCCAACCTGTGTATTACCTGTTCCCGTGCCGGTGTCGAAAAGGAAGGCAAGAACTTTGATTTTTCTCAAAGGGCAGCGCA